TGGCTGGAATGGAGAGAGTGAGTGGGGAAAGTACTGGATGAGGTCAGAAAGTGTACAGGAGCAAACATCATGCAGGATCTTTCAGAACTACCACACTGTATTGTGTTTGGTCATTTAAATTGTTCTTCTCTCCAATTAACAGGAGTCTCAATCTATCATTAAGGATCATGTTTATTTGCTACATTCTCCATAGAATGAGTACTTAAATATAAATTTAAAAATATCCTTTACCTATTCAGTACAATCAGCAACTTTTACACTGATATAAAAGGCTACACCTAGTGGTCGAACAATCATTTTCAGTTAGTGGAAGGCTAAATAAACTAGGTAATTATCTGTCCATTGGCTTTCACTGAAACAATGGCTGCTGGCTGACCCTGTCACAGGTCTTCTGCTCAATCACAGTGGAATCTAAAATCTCACTTCCACACCTCTTTTCACGAACCAAGCAGAGATAAGGAACTGTAACAAGGAGGGGTAAACAAACCCTGGATGGGAAGTTGTAAAACAAGGGGGAAAATGGCAGAAAATAGTAGGCAAAGACTGTTTTTTACCTAACCCTTGAGTTGTTTACACTAAGAGTCCAAAACTCTTCATTGTCTAGTAAACTTTTTTAGTATATGTGCTGCTGAAGCGAGCACATTGTCTAGTAAACTTGATCACAGAACCACTACAGTTGAGAAGAGGCAATGTCATTGCAGCACAAAGTTGCAGCTGACTCTATGGGTTACATTCTAATACTGGCTATTTCAAGATTCTGGATTTCTATTGGCAAGTAAATATTTGCAGAATGCCTAAGGCATATACAGGGCTTCCCTTGTGACTCAGATGGTAAAGAGTCTGCCTGCGATGCGGGATACCCGAGTTCGATCTCTGGGTCAGGAAGATCCCCTGGAGAAGGAAATGGCACCCCACTCCAGTATTCTTGCCTGGAAAATCCCATGGATGGAGGAGCCTGGTGGGCTACATGGGGTTATAAAGAGTCGGACACAACTGAGTGACTTCACTAAGGTATATACATGCCACCTCCTGCTAACTATTACCATCAAGAAGCAAACAGAAATGTCCAAATGATATCTAGTAACATTAGAAATATCTAGCTATATCTTATAAAATTTTGTGATCTGTACAACCACATCACATGGCAGTCAAGAACAACTTGGAGTACTCATCTTTTAATGCCACATTTTCTAAACGCCAGGTCTATCTATCAGATTCAGTAACTGAACATTGTTTCTAATGATCAAAACTCACTACCTGTTTATTATTCCTTTCTCAAAAGTATAGTCTTACAAATTAAAGTACGTAGGGTGCCTAAATTAACCAGAAATTTAAAATTCAGTAAAAAGTTGAAGTATATGATAAAAAAAGTGCTGACTGAAATGTAAAGGGACAGATACACACAAGACATGATTTAAAGCCAACTATAAATATGCAAAATTGAGATTTTAATTAGCACAGAAAATTCTTGTTTAAAATCACTGTCTGCTCTAAACATGGCAGCCTGCAGAATCATTTGAGCCTTCAGCCTGTTTGATTTGGCCAGAACACTGGGTCTTTGTTTATGCTATTTTAATGTGCATTTGACGGCGTTTAGGAAGTGCAGGTATTGTGCTGCCAAACACCGAGCCTAGGTTAGGCAAGCTTTCTAAAAGTATTTAAATTTGTACTCTGCAACTGTCAGTGAAGATGTTTGACCTCTTGTGCAAAACGACTTTGGCAAAACCTGAAATAACCCCAGTCTTAAAAAAGCACTGATTTTCTTCTCAGTGATACATACATCATAAAAAGGTAACAAAGAAACATTTCCCAAAAGATATCCTTTAGGTTCATCATTATATTTTCAGAGATTCTCTGGGATTGAAAACACTTCAGAAAAGAACCACCCCAATTTTCATCATTTTACACAGACATTAACTGGGACCCAGAGAGGCAAAGTGACTTGTCCAAGGTCTTATAGCCAACTTGTTAGGTAGTTAGAATAGGGAAAAGGAGTCCAAAATGGCAGTGGCTAAAAGACAAGGAAGGGAAAAGCCCTCGAAAATAGAACAGAGGAAGGTCAAAGGAAGGTCCGAGGACCGGAGTGAGGACTTCAGGTAGAACAGCGCTCCTGCCTAAGCCCAATTTGCATAGGACAGGCCCAGGGGGAAGAAAAAAACATATAAAAAGAGGAGCCAAAGGGTTCTCTCTCTCTCTCTCACAAGTGCGTACACTCTTTCTCTCTCTCTCTCTCTCTGTCTCTCTCTCCCCCGCACGATGTGGTGCTCTCCTCTTCGCGTCTTTGGATCGACGTGCCCTCATGCCTTGAAGATGGATTTTCCTGCTCTTATCTAAATAAAATAGAGCTGTAACATTGAGCTGTAATACTGATTATTTAAGAGCTATAACACGGTCTGTCAAAGACCCGAGAGCTGTGACGCGCTGAGGGGGCTGTAATGTCCGTCACTCCAAACCTTTGTTGGGACGAGACAAAGAACCAAGGAGCATACACTCGCCTGACATCTATGGTGCCGTACAAACTGATAAACGGGTTCCCAAAGTGTTTTTAACTTATTTCCCCCAACAAGATTTTGATTCATCAGGGAAAAGACCAGTGTTTGATTATCCTGAGCCCTGTTCTAACACTCTGCTCAGCAAGTATTCAACACATAGTCCTGAGATTTGCTCCCAACAAATAAACTAAAATCTTGTTTATAAAGAATCATGACCCAAATCACAGTCAGTTATATCTCAATAAAGCTGGAAATTAATAAGTAAACAGAACCTAGCTATTGTTAAGTAGAAAGAATCGATTCCTGCTTGGTATTTGTTGAATGAATGAAGAAATAAATGCAACTTCTGTTCAATGGGTATGCTTGTAGTCAATGGGCCTTCAAATGGATAAAAGAGCCAACAGGCCCTGCAATGGATAAAACTTCACCTCTCAAAGACAAAAGCCTTATATGCCTGTTGACACAGGAAAAACAGGCTCATAATCCAATTTCGTACGCCTGAGAGAGGCAAAATACAGCATTAGCCCAGGTCAACAAATCAATTCCTTTCTTAAAAAAAAAAAATTCAATCCTCATTGCACCTAACATTTTGAGCTAGAGCTCAATCCTGATTAAAATGTTTTCCAAGTATATTATTAATACTTTAGCAATTTTTCCACACATAGAATATAAAAAAGCACCATTCCTAGGGCAGTGAGAATACACTGTAACATATTATAATGGTATGACATTATATATTTGTCTAAATCCATAGAATGTACAATACTAAGAATGACTCCTACAATAAACTATGAACTCTGGGTAATTATGACATGTCAAACAGCTTCATTCTTGGTAAAAAAAAATATATACATATACTATTCTTGTTGAGTGATGCTAATAATGGGGAAAGCTCTCAATTTTGTAGTAAACCTAAAGCTGCTCTAAAAAATTAATTCCTCAAAAAAGTAAAAATTAATTAATGTTTAAAAAAAAAAAAGCAGCACTGCAATACTCTTTTCCAAGCACAGTATACAGCAGGACTCAACAACCTGCAACACCCGTGTCTCTGCCTGGGTAGCATCTAGTAAGGAGGCTTTGGAGGCCTCCATAGTAATGTCAAGGAGGGCTCAGGAAGCCCAGATGTTCTTGGTTATTATCTCCAAACCCCCCCCCCCCCCCACCGCCCCTGCTTTGCTTGAGTCTCAAACTCTCATCAGCAGGATTGAGGCTAATGTGGATGGGAGTTCTCGCACTTAGACCGGACTCCCCTTTCCTCATTGTCTACTCTCAGGCATATCACATTCCAACTAACCTCAAGTGGTGGGAAATCTTTTGTTACCTTTCCTCCTTCCCTTTCTAATTAATATTCTACATTTCTTTTCCCCTTTCATTAGACAGAACACACAAGCTCAAACATAGTTTATCTCCCCCACCCGCCAAGCATGCTCTCCGGGAAACGGGCACTTGGCCTAGGATAAGGGAAGGAGAAACTGAATTCAGGATGGGTGGAGCTAAGTTCATCCTCGGCGTCAACAGAGAGGAGAGGCTGTGAAGGGCAGCCAGGACCTGCAATTTCTCACCACAGTCATCCTTTCCAGTAATACCAAACTTTCAAGGTGTTCCTTCTCTCTTATGGTATAGCGTATCCGTGAATTGGGGGCCAGAGGGAGGTATGCTAATTCAGATCTCGGAAAAGGAACAATAGAGAACTCTCACAGGCGGAACTCCCACAGCACCTTCTGGGCTCTTGCCTTGCATACACATGTGCATCCTGGGCATGTGAGAACACTACTGCCCCAGGTGAGGGCACTCTTGCCAGTGGAGTCAGGAGCCAGTAAGTAAATGCTCTCCATCTGAGCTGCATTCCATACAGCTTTCTACAAGACCTTGGTAATTTTCATCCCAGGTGCTCACAATGGTGACCAACTTAATAACGTATCCTCATAGCAGCTTTCTCTCCCTCCCTGTTTCATTTTCCCTAGACCGTGACTACTGGTTCCTGAGAATCTCGGCCCCTGCTTTCCAGGTGTCCCAGGGTAAAATAATGGAGATGGTCACAAAACTGGGACAATCAGCACTATCTATCAGCTGTCTGAACTTGTCCCTGAACAGAAATCCAGTACTTCAAAGATCAGCCTGTATTTCCCATAGGATAAAAGAAATGGAAGAAACGATATGGAACCGGGCTCCACTGCATTTCCTGACGTAAACATGTCCTTTTAAAAGCTAGGACAGGCGATTTGAGAATAAAAATCATGCTCAAAACTCCCTGTACTCTTCTCCATGGAACTCTTGCCAGGACCCACCACTGTCTCTCCAAATAGGGCACAAAGTGCCTGAGATGATGAAAATACGAATATATATCACCCAAATACACTCTTCTGTATCCACCCCCCATCCCCCAGAAGAGTTGGGTGACAGGAATAAAGAATCTAAATCTAATACTGCAAAGAGGTTCAGGAGTAAAGATGGGCTGGTAATCTTCAAATTCTAGCTGAGGAAGGCAAACACAAAAGATTTACTCACACATCATTGAATTCCTCCAGAGACCTTGCAGGTGTGAAAACATCCAACAGACCAATCACCTGTAACAAAACATAAAAATCAAACAGTAAATAAATATTGAACTTATCCATAAGGCCTCAGTCATTTTAACAGGAAATAATTCCTATTAAATCCTGCTCCTAGTTCAATAACGTCACATCCTCATATACTTAATGACTCCAATTCATTTTTTACCCAAATTATGCTTTTGCTTCTTACTTGTCGAACATCACTTTTCATAATAAACCATTACGATCTTCATGTCTTTAGAATTTAGTCACATGTAGCCATTAGTTTATCAGGAAGCAAAAAGATTTAGGACTCAACTTACACATGCACTAATAATTTAACGATTACAGAAAAAAGTTGTGCTTTTACAGTTGTTGCTATAGTATCATTTTTCCTTTTAAAATGTTATTATTCAATAAAAATTACTATATCATCTTCAACACTGACATTTTAAAGCCCCAATATATCCTCTCAGTATATTCTTGGTACTATTCTTATAACATTCTTAATATTAAGATCATTTTTTTATTTTTTAAAAATTTATATATTGGGACTTCCATGATGGTCCGTGGTTAAGAATCTGCCTTCCAATGCAGGGGACTCGGGTTTGTTCCCTGGTTGGGGAACTAAGATCCCATGTGCTGTGGGGCAACTGAGCCCTGGAGCCACAGCAAAAGATCCCGCATGCCTCAGTGAAGATCCTGCCTCAACTAAGGCGCAATGCAGCCAAATAAATAAATATATATTTTAAAAATTAATTTATTTATTATGGCTGTACTGGGTCTTCATTACTTCGGGTGGGCTTTCTCCAGTTGCAGCAAGCAGGGGCTACACTTCGTGGCAGTACCTGGGCTTCTCACTGTGGTTTCTCCTGTTGCAGAGCAACAAGAAGCCCTTGAGCTCTCAGACTGCAGCAGCTGTGGCTCTCGGGCTGCAGATCGAGGACTCAGTAGTTGTGACGCACGGGCGTAGTTGTCTCGCGGCATGTGGAATCTTCCCCCATCAGGGATGAAACCCATGTCCTCTGCATTAGCAGGCAGATTCTTAACTACTGGACCACTAGGAGAAGTCCCAGGGTAATTCCCTTAATCAGTATCAGGTATTTAAATCAGACTATAAAAATGGAAGGGAAAAAAAAAGCTAACTTTACACAAAGATAAAACAAAGAGCTACTTAATATGCAGTAACCTACTGTCTTTGAGCAGTTTTTCTGGTCATGGATTTATGCTGATTAATCTGCTGGAGAAGGAACAGGCTACCCACCCCAGTATTCTTGGGCTTCCCTGGCAGCTCAGCTGGTAAAGAATCCGCCTGCAATGCAGGAGACCTGGGTTCGATCCCTGGGTTGGGAAGATCCCCTGGAGAAGGGAATAGCTACCCACTCCAGTATTCTGGCCTGGAGAATTCCCTGGACTATATAGTCCATGGAGTCTCAGGGTCGGACACGACTGAGTGCCTTTCACTCATTCAATCCACATTTACCATACCCCTCTTCTCCAGTTCCTCCTGAAACCCAGAGGACTCATTTCTACAAATCTAGGCACTAAGAAGGCAAGCAAGACACATAATTCATGTGTAATATGCCCAGCAAGATTGAAGAGTATCTGGAAGTGAAACATACAAGAGCTAAATGGCCTTCATGAAAACTGACCCATAACTGCAGATTAGCATGCTGCTCTAACCAACCAAGCTAAATAAACAGCTCTAAAAGTAAAATATACTAACACTCGAAATATTATCATGAAAAAGAGCACTTCTAATCAGAAAGTTATGCCATTCAACCAAATACCAATTTTTAAAACCAATTTCTATTACAGGCTAAACCCAAAAGAGAAAAACTAAAAAAAGGCCCTGGAAAGTCTTTGCATCTTCTTCCAAAGGAAAGATAGTTATCAATCATCTTCTTATTCAGACAACCAGACATAAGAAAACCAAAATTATCTACAATAGTCTATCCATTATCACTAACACTAATATTTTGAGATACTTCGATTTTTCTGATGTACATAAATTAAACTGGAGTAATACTATGTATACTTTTATATTCTTCCTTGTGACTTAACATATAACTATTCTCATGTCCTCAATTGTTTTTCAATTGGGTTTCCCTGGTGACTCAGTGATAAAGAATCTACCTGCCAATGCCAGAAACATGGGTTTGATCCCTGATCCAGCAAGATCCCACATACCGTGGAACAACTAAAACCATCAATTGTTCAATACTCAGCTGTCTTTATGGTCCAACTCTCACACTCATTGTGGGCTTTCCTGGTGGTTCAGTAGTAAAGAATCCGACCTCCTATGCAGGAGATGCAGGTTCGATTCCTGGGTCAGGAAGATCCCCTGGAGAAGGAAATGGCAACCCACTCCAGTATTCTTTCCCAGGAAATCCCATGGACAGGGTAGCCTGATGGGCTGCGGTCTATGGGGTTGCAAGAGAGTCAGACACAACTTAGCAACTAGACTCACACCCTCACATGACTACGGGAAAAATCATAGCTTTGACGATACAAACCTTTGTCTGCAAAGTTATGTCTCTGCTTTTTAATATGCTATCTAGGTTTGTCTCATGAACAAGTGTCTTTTAATTTCATGGCTACAGTCACCATCTGCAGTGATTTTGGAGCCCAAGAAAATAAACTCTGACGTTGCTTCCACTTTTCCACAACTATTTGCCATGAAGTGATTGGACTAGATGCCATGATCTTGGTTTTTTGAAAGCTGAGTTTTAAGCCAGGTTTTTCACTCTCCTCTTTCACCCTAATCAAGAGGCTCTTTAGTTCCTCTTTGTTTTGTGTCATTAGAGTGGTGTATCATTTGTACATTTGAGGTTGTTGATATTTCTCCTGGCAATCTTGATTTCAGCTTGTGATTAATCCAGCCTGGCATTTCACATGATGTACTCTGCATATAAGTTAAACAAGCAGGGTGACAATATACAGCCTCGACGGACTCCTTTCCTAATTTTGAACCAGTCCATTGCCCCATGTCCGGTTCTAACTGTTGCTTCTTTACCTATATACAGGTTTCTCAGAAAACAGGTAAGGTGGTTTAGTACTCCCATTTCTTTAAGAATTTTCCAGAGCTTGTTGTGATTCACATAGTCAAAGACTTTAGCACAGTCAATGAAGCAGACGTTTTTCTGGAATTCCCTTGCTTTTTCTATGATCCAATGGATGTTGGTAACTTGATCTCTGGTTCCTCTGCCTTTTCTAAATCCAGCTTGTACATCTGGAAGTTCTTGATTCATATACTGCTGAAGCCTACTTGAAGGATTTTGAGCATTACTTTGCCAGCATGTGAAAGGAGCACTAGTGTACAGTAGTTTGAACATTCTTTGGCATTGTCCTTCTTTTGGATTGTAATGAAAACTGAACTTTTCCAGTCCTGTGGCCACTGTTGAGTTTTCCAAATTTGCTGGCATACTCAGTGCAGCACATTAACAGCATCATCTTTCAGGATTTTAAAAAGCTCAGCTGGAATCCCATCACCTCCACTAGTTTTGTTGGTAGTAATGTTTCCTAAGGTCCGCTTGACTTCAAGCCCAGGATGTCTGGGTCTGGGTGAGTGACCACACCATCGTGGTTATCTGTCATTAAGACCTTTTTCTACAGTTCTTCTGTGTATTCTTGCCACCTCTTTTTAATCTCTTCTGCTTCTGGTAGGTCCTTGCCATTTCTGTTACTGTGCCCATCTTTCCGTGAAATGTTCGTCATATTTATGGAGTATTAATCATAAGAAAATACTATGAAACAAAAGTTTCCCAGCATTAAAGTAGATCAGGGGAACATTCCATAATCAATTCATTTCTCATTTTTTAAATGGAAATTTGCTTGTAATTCAAATTATATTTTAGCCTATTTCCTTACTTTTTCTGCCACTATATGCTTTCAGACACTTTAAAAAGTAACTTAGGAATTAAATACTTTAAAATAATGCAAATAATCAGCAAATATCTCTGATGACAGAGATATCTGAATCACTGTTCTATAATGATCCAAAAGTTAACAGACAGAAGTTATACATCTTTATTAAACTGACACAACTCAAAAATCACTTTAGCTCAGTGACCAAAGACAATATTTAATGTATTTAACACAAAACACAAAAACCACTTGCTCTATCATAGTAAGATTAAATCTAAGACTCCCAAATAAAATTTATAAAAGGATTCCCTTAATCATTTTTAAATTTTAAAATGCATAGATCTCCAGGCCCTTAACCAGGCAATAATAACTTAGCAAAAGGATGCAGCCAGCAGGCTGCTTCCCTTTAATCTGCCTTAGACTATGTGTTAATGAGATCAAGGTCAAAAGTTCAGTCAGGAATGGGCCAAGTTAAGTTTGTTGTGAGTAACTCTTACCACTCATAGAGGACATCCCCTAGCTCTTGTAAATCCATACGAAAACTGTATATGCCATTCATTATCACTAATAATATAAATAACTTAAGATAAACTATGAATTGTAAGTCAGAGGCATTTTTGTGTAAAAGACCATTTGTATACCTGGCACCTAAAAATTCTATTTGGTAGCAATACTTAAATTTTTCAAGAGTTTTAAGTTGCTGTGGCTGCTGCTGTTGATGGAGGCCTAACAGTGAGCTAAAGCGTGGGACAGTGGCCCAGAACAGTTATTTTTTAAAAAATGAAAGCAAAAGAAGAAGAAGATAAAGGAATTCCTCTTAAAATCCTCAATTAAACTTGTAATTGCATCCTATCACCGTGGCCTCTTCATTTCTACAAACACAGAAAGAATGGCCCAAATGTAACCAGCCCAATATCATACAAGACACACTTCAAAGGATCTCAGAACAGAAAATTAAAATAGAAAATACTAAATAAGGTTGCTTTAGTGATCATTAGAAAAGCCAAGGCATGGATTCAGATAACCCAAAATAATTTTTTGCCATAAACACTGGCTTAAAATGACTATGAAATAAAGCAGAACAATAAATTATAGTGCTGGTAATCTTCTAAGACTAGATGGTCTTAAATTAGCATAGGCAACATCAGTGGGATCCTGGGGCCTCTTGGAGGTGCTTTGGGGTTCCATAAATATTTGGCTTGCATTCCATTTTCAAAGTATTCTTTATATTTAAAAAGCTATGACAGTGTCTCTGTCACATTTATTAACGTGTAATGAAAAACAGCATACATAATCAACTGTGTTAAAAACCATATGTAAACCCATCAGTTAAGCTGCCAGGCCACCTTGATTTTATGCAGACTTCGGAATGAAGCTTCTCCAGCCAGCTCTTTCCACATATTTCAGCTTCTTATAAACATGTCACTGATTAGGAAGGCTGCAGCTCTGCACTGAACTTTTTAAAAATTCAAGTTTGCACATGAAGCTCATATAAAACTACACCTAGGAAAGGAAGCTGTCTGTGGAAAACAGGACTTTCTCACAGTATGCAATTAAAACATGAAAATAAATAAGCAGAATCCATAATCCAACTCCAAATTTAAGTCACCATGCTCTCAATTTACAAGAAATCTGCACTTTGTGAAACAAATGTATTTTGATACATTTTTCTTACTCTGATGACAAAAAAATTCAATAATTGAAACAGAAAAAAGTCTGAATAGCCAGGTAATTTTTAGACTGTGATTTTTTTTCCTACACAGTAACCATCAATTGGGTCAAATGATTCTAAAATCTCTATGGCCACTATTTCTAAAATGCTACAAATTTTACAATTTCTTTCATACAGCAATCACATAAATCTTTTTAAACTTGATTTTGAAATGGAAAATAAGTGTCCTCAGTCAATTCTTTTTTCTCACTTTCCTCTAATAATCCAACTGCATTCATTTATTTATGCTATTAGGATTTACAAGCCCCTCCTTTGCAGGATGGCTTTGTTTTCAAATTTCCAAACTGACAGCAAAGAAAACATTATATTTAACTTAAACAATGTCTGTGTCACATTTATTAAAATACCTGAATCTGGAAAAGCTGTCTTTTGAAGATTCAGAGGAAAAATTATAATATTAAATTATCTAGAAAATAATACCCATTCAGTGAACCTAAGGCACTCTTTCTCAAACTTCTCCACTGAAAACACCCATAACACCACAAAATACCATGGATTCCCATACTCTGATAATATAGTCCTAAGTAAAACAAGAATAAAAAACTTCCTTGTAGTACTTTCTCTTAAAAATCCTTGTGAATTTTGCTTTATCTCATAATACTCATTTTTATTTAAAAAAATTTTATAGGCTTTCCCTGTAAAAATCTTTAAGTAAAACTCAAACTCCAGGAATATGTACCAATTTCTTCCCAAGTCTTTCAGTAGCTACATGACATAAAGCAGTGGCCTCTAACACCCCAGTATAAGGATGGTCCAAAGTTTAATGTACTCTAATGCATTTCCATTTGCAGTAATTAAAACACAATTCTTCTAGTCTATTAAACAGCAGAATTTATTCTGCCTTGAATTAATAACTTACATTTTCATGCTTCATATGTTTAAGTAACCGCAGTTCTCTGTAGGTTCTTTTGGCATGAATAATGGACTGAAATGGTCTGGATAGCTTCTTCACTGCGACACGTAACCCAGTTTTCGTGTCAAAAGCAGCACTAAGGGAAAAAAAAAAAAGAAAACCATAAAAAATTCATTAAATGTTCTCTAATTATATCAAAATTAGCATTTATAAGGCTATTTGATTTCTAAATTAAATGGGCTTATAATAAAATACAAAATAACTGAAAATAAAACTTAAAATGACCTATAAGCCCACTAAGCAAAGTAATCTGTTAATCATTTTTGGTGTTTCCTTCTTATCTTTTTTTTCCTACGCATCTAAATCAAGGATCAGCAGACTTTTTCCGTGAAGGGCTAGAGAGTAAGTATTTTAAACTTTGTGAGGCGTAGGGTCTCTGTCTCAACAACTCAACTCCATGGTTGGAACTGGAAAGCAGCAGATAATAAATTTTTAAATGGATATGGCTGTGTCCCAATAACACAAAAATAGGCAGCCACCTGATCTAGATGAGCCAATAGATTGGGACAAAGAGCTGGATTCCATCCATCTCCTTGGCCGAGGCCTCACTGTCTCTTTGCCACCAAATGCTGCCTGATCAGAGACCTTGGAAACCACCATGTTTTCAGGACAGTGAGTTGGCATAAAAATTTCTTTATGAAATACGAAGTATTTGACACTTTCTAGAAGCTCAGGTAACAGTCGGGAATAAATTAACATATCTCTGACCTCAGGGAATGGGGGAGAGGGGAAGAGCAGAATAATAAAATAGATTTCAAATAGTGATAAATGCTATGACTAACTAAAACAGAATAATGGGATAAAGAGCGACAGAAAGCTGGTGGAGCTAAGCTACATTACCTATGATGTTGGAAGAAGTACATTTGAGCTGAGGGAAGTGAATGATAAGGGGAAAAGAGCCTCAAGCAGAAAACTATTATTAATATTAACGTTTGCTGAGTCTTTATTATTATTCCCATTTACAGATAAACTGAAGCACAGGGAGGTTAAATAACTTGCCCACAATCACAAATCTCGAAAGTAACAGTGCAGGAAGTCTGGACCCTGAGCTCCTGCTATCAACCACTTTGCTATGCTGCCTCTCAGAAGAGCAAGGGCATGCTGGAGTGACAGGAGAAACAGCCTGTGTAGACAGAGCATAGGGAATATGGGGAGCTTGGAAAAGAGTAAGATCAGAGATATAGGCAAAGGCTAGACCACACAGGACAGCTACAGCAAGAAACATGATGTGTATCTTAATTATTTTTAGAGACTGTACAGGCTAATTCCATCATGTCTCACTCTCCTGTTTATCTCAATTTCTAATCTGCACATTCAAGACTTTCTGATTATCTAGTCTTACCAAACTCTCCCATATGACTATGTAATGGCTCCAGAAGTTCCCCTCCCTTCGCTCCTAAATGCTTATACTCTGTCCCTGCCTTTCAATTCCCAGTGTGTAATAAACTCTGGTAAATCTTCAACTTCCGAACTTTTCCTCCATCTCCTTGCTTTAACAGAACTAGGCTGTCCCTTGAAGACACTCCTCTGACAGCCACGCCTTAGAGTGGACTCTCTTGTATCCCAGGCACCTCGCGGCTAGCAGGTGGGGGTAGGTGTTCTCTTTGCCAACTGTTTCCACTTCCAGACAATGACTTTCCCTTTGATTTACAAAAGCTCCTGCTCACCACCATCCTTCCCTCTCAGTTGCTGTTATCCACTCACTTGGAATTTTCCATCACTCACCAAAAAGTTAGTTCCTATCTCAAAGTCTCTCTCCCCTCCCAACTTCTGTCATCATTCTTGGCAACCTCAGCATCCAGGTGGAGGGTACAGGCAACTTCCTGGCCTCTTGGTTTCCTGGCCTCTCCAGGAAACTCCACCCTGTCCAAGGTCACCCAAGCTCCACCTCCAGGGTCACACCCTGGGCCCTCTATCACCACCAAAAGCTGCCTGCCTACAATATGGAGAATGACATCACAAACTTCCTATGCCTTTTAGTTTGCTCCTATTAGCTTATTTGTATCCTGACTACAACAATTCATTGACTGTTTCTATCCTTCAGCCCTCCCGTCTTCATTTCCCTTCTTGCCTGCCTTAGACTGTATTCTCTTATAAAACTCCGTACCCCCTCTGATATACTCACCCAGATAAACTCTAACTTTGGCTGATCTTAACTATTTATTCTCCTTATCGAGAATCCAAAAACTGTGGTTGAAGAAAAAAGAATGCACAATCATACAGAATGGTTTCGTTCTTAATTTCTGATCTTAATCACAAATAAGGCTCCCAATGCTGCCACTTTTTTATTAAGTCCATTTTTCTACTCAAACTCCATCTGACACCATCTCTCTCCTCAAACCTCCACTTACCCTCCTCCCTCAGGAGCTGCTCTTGCCTTCAATGAGAAAATAGAAAACATCAAAAGGGAGCTCCATCTGTCTCCCAGTAAATCTACCTACATACCTATCTACACTGGGACCCATCTTCTCTGCTTTTTCTCGTTCTGTGACTAAGGACACACTCCCTTTCTTACAAAAATCCAAGACCTCAATACATGCTTTGGTGCCATCCTCCCTCATATTCTCAAGGAATTCACTCCTTCGTTCCCTTTTTCTCTTTATTCTCTTCTCCTGGATCATCCTCACCAGTGTAAGTATGCACAGTTATTTTTCATCCTCAACAAACAAAAAATTTCCCTTGAAACCTCCCCATTACAGTTAAAATTCCCCAGCAGTTCTCAAAGTGTGATTTCTAGACCAGCAGCATCAATGCCACCCAGGAACTTATAAAAAATGTAAATGCTCAGGTGACATCCCAGAACTACTGAATCAGAAACTCTGAATCCTATTTTTTTTATCAAGCTGACCACATAATTCTAACACACAGTGAACTCTGAGGACCACTAGTCTATACCTCTGGTACTTCATGAACCAGCAGCACTGCACTATCTGGGGGGTCTTTAGAAATGGAGAGTCTCAGGCCCCAAAGTAGAATCTCATTTTGACAAGATCTCCAAGTAATTCACACACATCTTACGGTTTGCGAAGCACTATTTCCTCTGCTTCCGTTCTTTCCTCAATCCACTCCACTGAAACCACTCTTTTCAGGTCGTTAATGACCTCTATTACCAAACGGCCACTTTTCTGTATGAGCAACTGACGTGGTTAACACTTTCCCTTCCTCTAAACAACTCTAACCTAGGGTCCCTGTCAGGACATTCTACTGGCTTTTTCTTTATAGTATTTATTAATTTTTAAATATTTATGTATTATCTATTTGGCTGCACCAGGTCTTCGTTGGGACACCTGGGATCTTTAGTTGTGGCGTAAGAACTCTTAGTTATGGGATGTGGGATCTAGTTCCCTGACCAGGGTTCAAACAGGCCCCCTGCACTGGGAGTGTGAAGCCTGAGCCACTGGCCCCCCCGGGAAGTCGCTCTCCTGGTTTTCTATGACTCCCACAGTAGCTCCTTCTCTAAGGTTCCTCTACTCAGACTCTGCATGCTGGAGTTCTTTAGGACACAGTACCAGGCCCTCTTCTCTTCTCTCTTCTATGTTCTCCTAGATGTTCTCATCTACACCCATGACTTTAAATTAAATGCCATCTGCATATTGAAAACTCCCAAATCTATGTTTCCCACTGAAATCTCTTCTCAGAACCTGACTACCTAGCTGGACAACTTAAATTTAGCCAAGTTCAGAACACCCAGAACTGTTCCTCTCCCTGCCTCCTTTATCTCAACAAATAAGACTTTCCCATTCAGTTGCTCAAGCTAGACATCTGAAGTGTCATTTTAACTATTATTCCTTTCCCCCCAACCTCCTGGCCCCACCCAAATCCATCAGAAAGTCTTGTGGTTTCCACCTCCAAGATACACCTCAAATTCACCTTCTCTGCATTTTCAGGGCTTCCGTCCTGGTCCAAGTCACACTCCTCAGCAGAGCGTCTTCCAATACTCATCTCCCTCCTCCTGTTTTATCCCCTTCTAAAGGACTCTCCAAGCTTCCCAGGTGGCTCAGTGGTATTAAAAAAAAAAATTCCCCTGCTAATGCAGGAGACACAGGAGGCGTGCTTTTGATCAGAAATAGCAACCCACTCCAGTATTCTTGCCTGGGAAGTCCCATGGACAGAGGAGCCTGATGGGCTATGGTCCATGGGGTTGCAGTCAGACAGAACTGAGCACGTCACACACAATGTACTCCCCCCCCCCCCGCCCCCGCCCCCTAATACAATCTTTTAAAAATATAAATTAGATGACACCACTCCCCTGCTTCAAATCCTTCAAGGAATGTCCTGGGCATATAAAGTAAAATGCACATTTCCTGTCACAACCTACGAGGCTCAGGCGACCTGACCACCAATAACCACTCCAGCCTGTTCCTATGCAACTCCTTCCTTCCGTTCAACATGTTCTGAACATGCTGACTCCTTTCAGTTCCTTAAACCCCTCACACAGGCTGTCCCTGGTCCCTGAGATGCTCTTCTCCCCCACTTTCAACTCTACTACACCCGCCCCCCGCCACAGCCGAATACTTATCCTTCCAGCCCTGCCTTAAATGTATCTAAGAGATGTTCTAAGAGTTATTCTAACTCCTCAAGCAGTTATGCTCTGTCACAACACCCTCCTTATTCTACATGAAGGGACAGGGGTCCTTTTTTCTTCTGCTCCCCTTGTTCCTACAAACCCAGGGAATAGGACCTTCTTCCTTCTTGGAAGTACCAAGAAGTTATACTCCTCTCAGAACCCCTCAGATTCTCCTGAGATTGGGAAAATGGCCACTGCTCCTGTGTGACCCATCCGTCTCAGCTCTCCACCTCAAAGCCTTGCCAGCCTACCTGTAGGCTGAGCGCTTCCTCCCTCTCCTCTGCTGGGGAGCCTGTTGGTGCCTCCAGGAGCAAGGTTTCTAGCTGACCTGCCTGTGCCTGAGTGTGCAAATTCAATTCACTGGGGAAGAAAGAAGAGGCCCATTGGAGCTGCATGTCCAGATCATTCCTCGTATCAGCTGTTGAATAAAAAAGTACATATTTTTATCTCTATTTGACTTCTGTATCTATTTAGCAAATGGAAGGCTAGGGTTAATCAGTACCCTGCAA